CATAAGTGATAAATATGTAGTGGGTGATATTTTGGTTTCCAGAACATGGATTAAACAACCAAGGGTTAATATCAATTTGAGATACAGGATTACAAAGATAGAAGATGATGAATTAGGGAAGCAAATAACATTACAGAATATAGCAAGACAAGAAGATGAGTTTATGTTGTTTGAACCTATTGTAGATAAAAACTTCATCTATCCTTACTGTGCTACTTGTCATTCAAGCCAGGGGTCAAGCGTAAAGGAAAGCATAACTACTCACGAATGGGACTTACCCATAACCAGCAGAGAGTGGATATGGACGGCATTGACTCGCTGTGTTGATTTTAGGAAAGTTATTTTTTTTGTAATCCAGACTTTGATAAGCAAATGGATAAAAATATGATAATGAGATATTTTAAAAACAAAGTAGAAAATTATAAGATACAAGACCGTCGCGCTCAAAGAGAAATTAATGAGGAAGAATACATTAGTGCTGAATTGGTGTTTATCACAGTTTCGCGCCAGATGCCAAAAGTGTAATACTTCATTTAACTTTGAAACGAAGAAAGGTAAATTATGTAGCAACTTTACTTGTCAGCGCCTTGATAATTCAATCGCTCTCCATATAGATAATTCAACTTCATTCTGTGTATATTGTAATGTTTCAGCTCATTAAGATTTTAATATGTTTTATATTAAAATCTTAGTTTTAGACTAAGAAAGGTTTAAAGAAATAATACCTATATATAGTAGATAGTAATGAAGGAACAAGAACTAAATAATTATATCAATAAGAAATGCTATGATTGTTGCCACTTCAAAAAAGAACATATGGAATTATACAAAATGAATTTACCTAATGGAATAGTTAATAATATTATAGATTATGCTTTGGGTGAAGAAGATGAATGTAAAATTTGTCAGGAATGGAGAGATAATCAAGAATTAATCAGATGTCATTTAAATCTGAAAAGAAGACATAATAGAAATGTTGAAGACGACATTATAATATTTTTAACTGTGTATGAAAGACCACCTTATAGTTATGTTAGAATATTTCTCAAAATCAGTAAGAAAAAGTATGAACTGATTAACCACATTTTATGGATATTGTTACATCGTAGAAGAGAAGGGTGTGATGTAAAAGAAGACATTAAATCAGAAATTGAAAGCAAAAAGTTTAATGTGAAAAATACCGTGAGAGATATCAATATTATTTTTGAACTGATGCATGACAGACGTAAGATATATACACAATTTAATAACCATCAATTAACTTATTATCCTGAATTTAAATTATAAATAATATTATCAATATAATAAATCTTAATTTGTTATATGGATAAACAAAAAATAGTTAGTGATATTTACTATGACAAAAGCGGATACGGTAGTAAAGCAATAACTTTGAAAGATGCCAGACAGAAAGATAAAACTATTACTGCGGACGATGTTAATGAGTTCTTTAAAAAGAATGTTGAGGAAAAAAGGAAAATGCGAGGGCAGAGTAGTTTTGTTGCTCCTCATGCCTTCTGGGAATTTCAGTTAGATTTGTTTTTTTATTTCAAAAAATGATTTGGAAAATCAAAAGTTTAGAATTGGATTAATATTAATTGATATATTTAGTAAATATGCTACTGTAATACCTATTGCAAGTAAGCAACCGCCAGATGTATTAGCAGGAATTATGGAAGGCATTAAGAAAATGGGCGGAAAAGCCAAAATGATATACAGCGACGAAGAAGGCAGTTTATTTAGTTCTATCATTACAGATTATCTTGATGAGGAAAAAATTGAATTACACACCACGAGAGGACACCCTGCTTTTGGAGAAAGATTTATAAAAAACCTACAAAGATATGTTATTTAAAAGAGTTGAGGCGGATGAGAAGAGAGGAAAGCAAGACATCCAATGGGTTGATTACAATTTAGAAATATTATTGACATATAATAATAAATTAGTAAGTGCCGTTACGAAAATGACACCATTAGAAGCAAGGAAGCAAAAGAATGAGTTTGAAGTGAAACTGAATATATCAATGAATGCCAGAAAAACCCGTGTGTATCCTGATTTAGATGTGTCCAGTCGGGTAAAGATATTAAGGAAAAAGGGAATAAGTGAAAAAGCACAGACAAGTCATTGGTTAAAAGAAGTCTTCACAGTTGAAAGAATAGAAAGTAAATTAGGGCAGAAATATTATTATGTAAATGGAAGACCCAGACCATTGTTGAGGCATGAATTGCTGAAATTATAGTTTTAGACTAATAAGGTTTAAAGAAATAATACCTATATATATTAGTGATAAATATGGGATGGACTTTACAATCAAGAGATACTAAAGATTGTGGATGTGTAAAAGAAACACGAGTTCATGATGATTTCCCTACGAGTGATACAACTATAACATTATGCAAAGAATGTAAAACTAAACAAGTAGAAGAGAAGAAGAGAAGAGAAGAAGAAAAAACTGAATTATATAATAAATTTATTCAAGCGTTAAAGAATGCAGAAACTAAATTAGTTCCACGAAAAAATATCTGTCAAGTTATATCTACCCATCGTTTTCGTTTTAGGGGTTCAAGTTCAGTATTAAACAATCGCCTCTTGTATGATATGTTTAAATACAAAAAAATCAAGAATAGATATTATATAGATATTAATGCTGTGCAATTATTTTACGAGCATGAACTTGATAGATATTATTTATTGGATATAAAATAAGCGATTTGCTGTAAAATGCTTTACTTCATCATGAATAGTTCTAATAAGATAAAATTATTAGATTTATTCAATATATTTGTAATTATCTATTGTATGGTCGGTTGTTTGGTTTTTTGTTTGGTTTGTTGTTTGGTGGGTTTTTTCGGGACAGGGGGCTTACCCATCTCATGTAAAAGGGTTTAAAGGGTTGTTGGTATAGTAGGATAGAGGTTATGGAAAAGAAATACTGCTCGGGTTGTCAGAAGGATAAGGAAGTGGATTTATTCACTGAACCTTACAAGGTTTGTGATAAGTGCCGTGAAAAGAACAGGAGGAAGCACCAAGTAGTGTATCATTGTGATGTGTGCGATTGTGATATAAAAAAGGTCGCATAAACCAAGGCACGAAAAAACTTACAGGCATAAGGGAAATCTGGAAAAGAACGAGGTTAAGGAAAATTGAGTTGGTTTAAGTTATGCTTTTATGAATAACTTAAAACAATTGGTGGGTGGATTGGTTTTTACGGGATTTATGCCAAACATATTTGGTTGGTTTTGGGCGGTGCTTTTTAAATGGCGTGAAAACCATAGGGGGGAGTATACAATGATGAGGTTTGGGGTAAGCTACTGCTTGCTCCTAGCCCCAAAAGCGAACCTCCATTCGCGAACAAATATACCCTATGAACCTTTGTTGATCAATCCGAAGTCGACAACACCGGAGGTTTGTAGTTGGATGGTCGAACCTCCCTTTCACTTAGTGGCTCGTGACAAGGGTTCTAGAAAACCACACGTGTGCCCTGAGGGATCTGGACCACCATGACAAATGTTCGTCATTGAAACCTTCTGGGTATAGGCTTGAACGTTGACCCCGGCGTGCGATGGTTTTGTCTTCTACTGAGCAGAGCACATCCCAACACGGAATTGGCGGAGAGGCTCGCCATCCGAGCCCTTCATTACATGGGTATGGGTCAGAATCAAACCACCAGGGGACCTCGTTTCCATTTCCCAGGATCCCATTTTGACACATTTTCCCTTGTAAACTGGAGCCATGGTCCAGTTTCCCTGGCCCGGAGTCGAGTGCTCAGGCCTCAGGGAGTGTCCCCAGGTGTGTCATGTGTGGAATCAGACCATTGGAGGGGCCCGGTTTGGGATAGGTTCTACTTCGATCCGTGTTGCCACTTCTGCTTCTCGACCCCGGATTTAGAAACCCTTCTCAGCGAAGAGGGGAGTGCGGGCAAGCCCTCCAAAAGTGAATTCCCGCAAGGAAATGGAGGCCCCCCCAAAAAAACACACACACACACACACATCCAGGGCTTTTGCTTGCAACAAGCCCGACTAACACCTTCAAGCGCGCGCAAAACAGGAAAAACCCGGCTGAAAAACCCGTCCCCTGGGCCCATGGTGCCATCGAGCCATCGAGTCTCTGGGAGAAGAAAGTCGGATTTCGGTAGATTCAGGTGGGACCCTTTTAAGTGGATTCACCGGAGGGTTTTGCCGTTCCCCATGCATCAATCGAGGGGTTTTCATTAGGGCTACCTTCCATTTCCATTATTTCCAGGGATCCTTCTTGCAAGGAAACAGCTGGTGTTTTAAAAGAACGATGGATGGAAAGAATGGGGCATCAACCCCTAGAATTAATTATGCCCTTTTTCTTCCTATCACCATGGAACAGGGCGGTCCAACTGCAGAGGTGTTTGGTTCACTTGCGTTCCCGCTTCGACCTGAAACGACCCATGGAGCGGTTTCGAAAGGTGATCTCCTTTTTCAAAGGGTCCCTAAGGGGCAAGTCATGGTTGTTGTTGGGAAACATTTTACATGTCTTCTTATTGTGGTTGAGTGGTTGAAATCCAACCGCTCAACTGCTAAAATTTGAGAATTTTTGCTCCCCTTCCAACGTCAACCAAGAAGTGAGAGAATGGTTGGTTGCCTTGAAGGGTGTCCAGTTCAGCCACTCTGAAAGGGGTCGAAAGCGCAACTTACCAACATTTGGGCAACTGAGATCTCGTCAGCTAGGATTCTAGGGGTAAGCTCCCCATTCTTTCCAGGGATCCGAGTCTTTCTAGAAAACCACCAAAAAGTCTGGGGAAATGCCTGGTGTTTGAAAAGAAAGATGGCTGAAAAAAAGAGAATGGACTTGGAATCAACCCCTAGAAGAGAACTTCTCGAACATCCTGAATCAGCGCCTGGAACTGCAGAAAGAGAAAAAAACGTGTTGGTCCTTGGGTGGGTCAATGTTTCTAGGTCCCCCTGTAGTGCCCTTTTACAAATTTGTTGAATCAACCCCTATAGAAGGATGCGTAGATTGGCTCCTGAAGGATTTGGAGCACATCGCCAAGGATATCGTGGATCAAACCGAGACCAAGGCCTGTTGTCCGAAAGCTGTAGGACTTGGAATAGATGGGTTCCACTGGTTTAGATTGGTTTCATTTACCAGGGCCATCTACTTTCCCAAAAGGACACCTATGCTTGGAGCCCAACTTTCCAGGGAGCGCAAGAACTGAACCCCGGCCCAAGAGCCAATTTCCGTTACTTCCATTTGCTGAAACAAATATGTTTTGTCATTGTCCCTGGTTGGTTTTAAAGGGGATTGATGTCACTACTGGACATATCTTTAAACGCCAGGGATCTGGGGAAAAATGGATCATCCCAAATATGAGCAGCTGTTTTTCATGGTGTTTGTCTCAAAAGAAAGAGAGGAAAATTGCTGGTTTCCCTTTCGCGTGGCTTGTCTGGGATCCGGGAATCATTTGGATAGTATCTCAGTTGTTCAGTGGCACCCTTTTTCCTTTTTCTTTTTGGTGGCTGCCCGGTCTTCCCCAAAAAGGGCTCCCTTTTTTTGCTTTCCCCTGCGTTTCTCTCAAAGCAAACGGGTAGGCACCTTGTCCATGGTGCTCATGAACACCCAAGTTTGGGTGGCACCCTGGCTTTAGGCAGGGAACCAAGGGAAGCACCCAATCGCAAAACCAAAAGACCAAAGGAACCTGGCAAGTCTACCTACTACTGCAGGCGAATTGCCTGGGATCCACTTGAAGCGATCCATTTGACTTGAGTGCTTAAACAGTTTCAATCAGGGTGTGGTTTATCCCCCACTTCTGTGATACTTCTGGGAACCTCCTCCTTTTTATATGGGGTTCGTTTTTGGAGTTAGGCCCTTTTTGTTGTATCACAGTGCTGCTTTCCCAGACCCCTGGTTTCAATCTTCCAACCTTCAGACCCTTGAGCGTTTCGCAAACTCAGCACTTGAGAACTTAGGCCCCAGACCCATTTACCTGTATACAGGGTAACCAAGGGAACCTAATAGACAAAACAAGAGTTCAGCTCTTGCCAGGGACCTTGCCAGAACCGCTTCTTCCAAAACTCATTCCGCCTTACCAGGTCAGCGCGCCTGCCCATACCACACGCCCCACCTTGGCCAGTGGATTTCAGTTGGCCCCGGTGGGGTCACCAGCAGTTTTCCAGCCTTGGTAGGCTGGTTCCCATGGTCTTTCCTGCCTGGCAAGTGGATGCACTGGGTTGGAATGAGAAAACTGGGACAGCGCAGGTTCGATGTGCTTTCGGCGAGACTCGTTTCCAACAAATCATGTGCATTCTGGATGTTTGAAACCAGCCCAGCAAGTCACAGGAAGTAACTTGGAGCCTGTTTTTGCATTCCTTCGCCAGGTTCAGTGGGATTAACCTTGATTATTAAGAGGTAAAACCACCAAGTGGCCAACCACGTACTAACTTGGCAACGTCCATCCTAGTTGCTTCGTTGAAGCCAGTCAAAAGTTGGCCCCAAAATCGGAACCCAAATTTCGACCTGCTGAACCTTAAAATGGAAGCTATTCTCCTGTCCTGAATTTTCCCTAAAGTCTGCCCAAGATTCGCGGACTCCGCAAGCGGGTTTCTGCGGAATTTTTTCGGCCAGAATTCCGCGCTGCACGGATCTGATCCCCGTAATTAAACCTCGAAGGGAACATGTTTCAAACGTCCTCGTCGTGGTTGTCGACATCTTCATCATCACCCAGAGGGCCTTGGTACCTTCTAAGGACGTACCTAGACCCCTTTTGACCCCTCAAAAGCAATCTTCAGAAGGTACTTGGACCCTCTGGGTCATCATCATCATCATCATCATCATCATCATCATCATCATCACCACTGAGCAATTTGGGCTCAAGTCATTCGCTCTCAAACCGTTTAGTTGCTTGCTCCATCGCTTTCTTGCTGAATCTATCATCATGGCCCGGGGTGTGCATACCTGCTTCTGGATGGCCAGCGTCATCTGCATCGGCATGGCCGTGCGAAAACATATTAGGACTTGGACGAGGTGATCCGGACAAACCACTCCGTGGATGTCATGTCCCACATGTTTGCCAAGGTTGATTCCAACGGTGACGGCATGGTCAGCCAAGAAGAGTGGGCGCTGGGCATGCAAGAGCACCCCATGGTCCTGTTGGAAGCCTCGGAATTGAAGGAGGCGGCCATCAAAGCTGGCACATGGCGGGCAGGCTGCTGTGGCTACAATTGTCATCAGAGATGCGCCTGCGACTTTCCCTGTAGATAGACTGTAGCAGGCGGAACGAAGCTGAGTGCATGCAGTCGTATGTACAGAGTCTGAGAATAGTCTGTTCGGCACCAGCACTGTTACGATCCCTGATGCAGCGCCTCATTGAAGACCGGCTCCTAGCTGCAAACGTATTGATCGCAAAAAAAAATCTGTCTATCGTTGACAGTGTGGCAGCTGTGCTACTGCTGTTTGTGGTGGTGCTGGTGCTGGTGCTGGTGGTGGTGGTGGTGGTGGTGGTGGTGGTGGTGGTGGTGGTGGCGGTGGCGGTGTTGGTGGTGGTGGTGGTGGTGGTGGTGCTGCTTGTGCTGCTGGTGCTGCTGGTGGTGCTACCTGCTGCGTGCCTGCGGCTGCTGCCGCTGCCGCCGCCGCTGCTTCTGCTGCTTCTGCTGCTTCTGCTTGCTGCTGCTGCTGCTGCTGGTCGTGCTGCTGGTGGTGGTCGTGCTGCTGGTGGTGGTGGTGGTGCAGCTGCTGGTCGGGGTGGTGCTGCCTGCTGCTGCTGCTGCTGCGGCTGCGGCTGCGGCTGCTGCTGCGGCTGCGGCTGCTGCTGCGGCTGCGGCTGCGGTTGCGGCTTGGCTTTGCTTTGCCTTGCCTTGCCTTGCCTTGCTTTACATTGCCTGTTTGCTTGCTTGCTTGCTGGCTGGCTGACTGGCTGGCTGGCTGGCTGCTGCGGCTGCTGCTGCTGCTGGTGCTGCTGCTGCTGCTGCTGGTGCTGGTGCTGCTGCTGCTGGTGGTGCTGCTGCTGCGGTTGCTCAGTCGATCGGAAATGAGTACTCCCCTGACCCACACAATTCATGTAGGTAAGAACCTTTGACCTATTGGAGGGTGCCTTCGTGGCTTCGTGGAGGGTGCCTTCGTGGCTATGACTTTGCATACATGGAGTGTTTGGGATGCTTGACTCCGGTCAGGTGACAAGGAAAGGCCGACGCTGCTGCCTGATGTGAGCTTTTCCGCAAGAACTTCTCCGGCGAAGCCGGAGGATTCATTTGGTACATCACCCCCACCCCCCAATGAGTGCACGCTGTTTGCATACAACCCTTTGCTTTTGCCCAATTCGAATATTTGCCCTGCCTTGTTTAGGGGGCGGGGATGGCGGTACCATTGGCGAAATGCATGATCCCGCTTTCAAAAGGTCGACAGGCGGGGTTGGGCGGATGCATTTCCCTAGTTTAAGCGTGGGCATGCGTTTCTTGCGCGTACACCCTTTTGTTTGACTTCCATTTACTTAGGAATACTGGATTTTGATTTTTTTTTCCAGGGGGCGAAAAAGCAACTGGAAGTTGAGCTTGGATTGGTTTGAGCAAAAAATCCCACCGTGTGCGTTCCGGTCCCAAGCCGCGAGCTTCGCGCCACCGTTTCCGGCAAGGGCAAGAGATGTGAGACAGGGGTTGCAACGCTGAACCTGTTGCATCATGTGTGTGTGTGTGTGTGTCAACATTCTCGTGGTTATCAGGGTTTTCCCCTGCGTTGAGCACAAGTTCTCGGAAATCAAGGCGGTTCCTGCTTGTTGGTTGAACAGTTGTTGACCATCTCGCTTGATTCGAGCTATGCGAACCACGCTTTCTGTTCCAGACCCTACCCGGAAAATACTTGGAGGGGCGTTCGATTCCTTGATTCTCGCGAGAGGTCGGTTGAGACAAGCCCAAATCTTGGAGTATTCGGCCAATCTGCCACGCCCAAGACCTAAGATGGGAATTCACCAGCCATAACTGTTGGTTGCAATCTCCATTTCCTAAGGGTCGCTAGGGTAGTTTGAGGGTGCAGGTGGAGTGATTTTCCAAGAGTCGAATGGTTTGTATTCCTAGTAAGGGTCAGGAGGTCAACTGCAGGTTGAGTGGGGTTAACTGGTCACTTGCGGCTACCTGGCGGGCAATGTTTTGTGTAAGCCTCAACCAGCTTACGTGCCAAATCGGTGTCCTCGTGTGTTTTGTCAGGTCCCCTGTATGTTGGGGCTGCTTCTTGGCTTCCAGAAAACGCCGTTTGATGTTGTGTTTTGTTCAATCTGGTGGTTTCACAGCGAGAAGGGTGATTCCCATACTTTGCGTGAGGTGGAACCTTTTGACCTTTGGTTTTTCCTCTTTTGGCGCTCATTGTTTGTCTTCAGGTTCCAAAGTGAAACTTTTGTTTACAGTGTCCCAAACGGGGTGAACTTGCCGTCGCTCGGCGCTTCGCTTGGGCTCCAGAGAGTTTGGCAGAGCGCGCGCTACACGTGGGCCCAAAGGTGTCCTTTACTGGATGGGTGTTGTGCCATCCATGTACAAGTTGGAAACCCACCTAGTGTCTACCAAGAGGTATGTGTGGGTCGAGCTTCTCCAAGTTGGAACCCTGAAAAATATGGTTCGAGAAGTAGACTCAAACAAAACCCTGCGGTCAGGAAGTCGAAGCCGTGAACAAGAGGGACGACCTGTGTATCAGGTACGCTTGATTGGTGCTTTGGATTCGTGGTTTGGGATTTGAACGCCTTAACCACCAACCCACCCATCCAAACCGCCAATTAGAGGGAGGCTGAATTGATGTCCCTTTTGGTCTCCGCACGCCGAAAAAACGGGGCTGTCAGAATCTAAATACATTTCGTTTGAGTCGGCAGCTGACAACGCAGGGGGCATGGCCAGGTTTGGAACCAATTTGTGTGTCTGCTTTTTGTGTTGGTACCCTCCTTGATTTTTGTTTCAAGGGAAACCAAGAGGACAACTTCAAATGTTCTCAGAAAGCTTGGGACCTTATGTGACGCCCTTTCAGGCAACAGCTATCAAAAAACATCCTCGGGAGGGCCCCGGGCCGATCCAGAGCGCCCGGGCCGATCGAAATCGGAGATGGAGGACCGATCGGATCGGATCCAAGTTCTACTTGGGCCCTTTGGAGGGGCCAGGACTTTGCAACTTTCTTTTTGGGACCTGAAAAAAGACAACAGCAATTTGGAGGCACTGATATTTTTTGGTGTTGTCAAGTGGTCAAAGAGACACTCATCATTCCTAGTATGTCGGTTCTCGTGGCAAGTTTAAATGGTCGCAGTTTGCAACCTTTCTGAAGAAAGGTCCTTATTCTTGACTAGGTTTTTCAACTAGGTGCCCTTTTACCGTTTCGTTTTTGGGGAGAGTTCCCCCACTAAAATAGACTACAGAAAAACAAAAGTTGGTACCCTTGTTGCTACCTCTCTACTGGAGGACCTAGGAGAGATACACCAAAAAGCCATTTTGAAATGGGGCCGGGGTTGCTCGCCGAGATACCACAATCGAGCTGGAGGCAAATGCGTGTTTTCTGATCATCCGGAAGCTTCTTGCTGGTGCTTTGTAGGCAGGGAATGAGTTGGCATGACCCTTTTCAACCACATAAGTCATATTTACGGAGACTCCAGAACGGGTCAAGGCGGGTTAACGTGAAGCAACCCCCCCAAAATCAGAGGGGGGTGTCCATCAACTAGGTCCCCCGTAGTGCACGTTTACCCGTTTTTAAGGGAGGGTTCCCCTATAAAATAGACTACAGAAAAAAGGGTACCCTTAAACCTAACCTCTCTACTGGAGGACCTAGTTAGACCAAAAGTTTAACCTTTCGTACAAACATCTGAGGATTCTTCAAAGCCTTCGATGTGTCAGGAGGCTTCACCAGCTGCAGGCTCTCAGCTCAGAGTCGGGGGGGTACGAAACGTGCATGAAGCTTCTCTTGGGGCGTGTCATTTTTTTGAGACCCCCCAAATTGATGGTGTCCTTTTGGCTTCCCTAAAAAAACACACACCAACAAAAAGGGTACCCTGAAAAGAAGAGACTCCCTTTTCGCCATCTTGCTGAACAGAACCTGCACCGCAGGGATTGGCGGTTTATCAACCAGTCTTCGAGCCCGGGTTTCGTCCATGGGCTCGCTTGTGGATTTTGTTCAGCAGGGAAACCAAAGTCAGGAGTGGTCATACCTGGGCATGCTGGGAAAAACCTGGTTTTCCAGGGTCAATACCTCCTCTTGACGTTTGGGAGTCACCCAGACAGATTCCAAGCACTTGAAAGTTTGACACCGAAAGTAGTGCTGTTTCGGGTGAGTTTACAGCAGACAGATGATCTCCTATCTCGTCTCAGGCGAGGAGGCTGCAAAGGCGCGCGCGCGTGCGAAGCCAAACGCCGTAAAACCGACTCCGCAAAGGAACTCGGTGTTGAAACCATTTCTTCTGTTTGCTGAAATGCATATGTTGTTCCTTCTCCCCTGTTGGTTTAAAGAGAATCGATGTCACTTCTGGACATAGTTTCATATTTTTCCAGTGGACCTAAGCAGATGGAAGATTCTCGGTGTAACTTGTTACCTTCCATTTGAATAAGAAGATGTCTGATTCTTCCTGGTTGGTTCAAGGGAACCTATCAGTACTGAGTGTATGGTAGTCTTTCTTCGTTTCTTTTTCCCCCCTTTTTTTTGGGGGGGGGGGGGGGGGCAGAAACGCAAAGGGAGATTAAGTGTTGTCAGGTACCCCGGGTTGTTGTAGAGGGTAAATGGGAAACCAATCTTAACCGCCAAAAAAAAACGAAGGAAGCGGATGTTGAATTGGCAAAGTTACCAAGGCTGGCGGCGTTCCACATCAAATGTTTGTTGCGCAAGGTCCTTTTACCTTTTTAAAAATTTCTCAGCCAGTGGTTGCGCTTGCGAGACTTCAGGATGTTCAACCTAGTAGCTTGATTTGCCTGGGGCAACTGGGGTTAGAATCGGCTAAGAACCATGGCTATATCCTACTTACCTGGCGTAGGTTGAACATCCAAGTGTCCCCTTGTCAATAGCTTAAAAGGGGGACCGAAATTCACGACCCATGTTTCAGGGCCAAGTGGAAACACGCCAACACACTTGGAGGTACGTCGGGCCTCAAGAGTCTTCATTGAACCCATACCGAGGCCTTGCGAAGAAGTCGTCAGCCGTTCATGGCTCGTATCACAGCGTTGTGACTGGGTCGAAGTGCTGAGAGGGTGCCCCGAATTGGTGGTTTTCCTCTGGTGTCCCTTTAAACTTACAGAAAAGGGGTATCCTCAAAACAGGACACACCCAAAATGTGAGTTCCAACGATGACAGTGAAACCCTGTTTGCCGGTAGAACCTTCCGTTTCCTTGGTTTCAGGCGTGAATTGTCTTGAGTGTTGCCAAGTTGGTACGTTGCTGGTAAGCTATCGGTTGCAACGAGTTAAGTCACCCCTGTGGGGTCAACCTTGGAATCTTTCGGGGGTTAGAACCTAGGTGGCGGCATGGTGCTTCTTTGGCTCTTGCTTTTACAAAGGTCTCGAGAAACCTTGTTGAAGGCTCGCTTTTGGGCTGAAGTATTTTTGAAGTTTGGCCCAAGGTGAGTTTCCTCCTGATGTTTGAAGGGGAAATCTACTGTGGGTGAACGACATCCTGCACCATTTGCTATGCGAACCCCATGGTTTGTTCATCAAACCAGGATTTCTTCGGTGGTGCAAAAGTAGGTTTCGCAACCATGCCACAGCAGAAACTCGGTGTTGCCTGAAAGCGGTTCCCTGCTCCAAGCCTCTAAGATCAATCCTTTTGAGTCGATTTCAGATGTCGATCGATCGAAAACGCTTATTGGATGTGTGTCAATGGTCGGCCCCTACACGTAGGCACTTTCTTTAAGAGAAACGCTTAATATGGCCCTGGGGCTCAAAAATTAAAGAGCTAGGGTACGGCTGGATTTCTTTGGTTCCATTTGCCAAGGGTGCCATTTTGGTACATGTTTTTGAGCCACAGCCATAAGTCAAGGTACGGGTCCCACGGAGTTGTGCCTTTTGGTTGGGCGGGTGTCCTGAACCAGCTTCCTTGGAAGGAGTTGTGCCGTAGGACAGTCCGTTCCCCCACCCCATTATTTTCTTTTGTTAGTAGCATAGTTACATGTGGAACACAGGCCCAGTTGTTCCATGAAAACTGGTCATTCCCCAAAAGGGCTCCAATCCTTTTTCTGCCTTTCGGGTCACTGGTTGCACCTCGGGGTGTTGCCCTCGTCATGGCTGTTTTCCGTAAGGCATGCTCCTTGAGTTGCGCAAGGCTCTGGCTCCCTTTGTCTCTTCGGGGTGGAGCATCGGCTTGGCTTCGCATCTCGCCACAAAAAGGTCGCATGGTGGTAAAATCAGCTCGCTCTTCGGTTTTTGTTTGGAGGGGGGAAGGGTTTTTCCCTTTGAGACCCCAGCCACGCCGGGAGTCGTTGGACATCCCCCGCCGGACCTTTTTGGTTCAATGCAGCCGTTCAGCTGGCGTCGCAGGTCGATCTTTCTCTTCTTGGTGGCTCCCAGCCATCCGGTTCCTTAGCCTTTTAGCATTTTAGTGGTTCGTGGTAGTTTCCATTTGGCTGCGGGTCACAAATGGGTACCCGAAATTCAACCCTGGTAAATGGAAATAGGAGCTCAAATCTGCGGTCGAATTCCTGGTGGTTTTGATTTTGACCCACAGCCATGTCACCCGCTGAAAGTCTAAAAGTCTTTGAGCGGATCTGAAACCGGGCCGCCCAGTCTCGGCCTCTCGGCCTCTCGGCCTCTCGGCCTCTCGGCCAGGCTCGGGTGCAGCAGCTGCAAGAGCAGCAGCGCCTGCAGCAGCAGATGCAACTCCGGGCCCAGGAGGCCGAGAATTGGTTTTTGTTTTTCGTCTTTTTTCCTGTTTTTTTTTTGTTTGGTGTGGCTTTTTTGTCAGTTTTTTGTTTGTTTGTTTGGTGTTTATTTGTTCTTTCTTTCTTTTTGGGGGGGTCTTTTTTTGTTCTGTGGTTGTTTGGTGTGTCTATTGTTTTTTTTTGTTCAGTGGATTGCAGTAGGTAACTCACCGAAATATTGCTTCAGGTTTGTTTTTACTGGCTGGTTGAATTCACTTACTGTTGAACCCAGATTAATTAGCCCTGTGAATTGATATGGGGGTGCTTCCCTCCCAAAGTGAGGAAACTAAACCCGGGGACACCCCCAAATTCATCAACGGTTTTATTAATCCGGGGTCAACCTTATGCGGCTTTTGGTGTGTCTTTTATTGAGGGTTTTCTCAGTGGATGGCAGTAGGTAGCTCACACAAATATTGCTTTGATTTTTTTCTTAAATGGCTGGTTCCCTTGGTGAATTACTTTGCCTTCGAGGCTTGTTGGAGGGTTTGTTCAGTGAATTGAAGGTTTTCGGGTTTTCTATTGGCTCGTTTTTTTTTGGGTTACCTACCCTTACTAGGGAAATGGAAGCACTGGGGAGGGTACCCAAAGCTTTTTTGGAGTGGGTTCAAAAGGGAGACCGACAGGGAAACCGTTCACCTCTTTTGGTTTAACAGACACACACACACACCACAAATGAGATGGTTTTTAATTACTAAAATAGACTACAGAAAAAGGTACCCTCGTTCTAGCCTCTCTACTGGAGAACCTAGATAAGGATTGAGATCCGCTAGATTCGGCAGCAGGGTTCGGGTAGAATCAGCTTTCCATGCCGGTACAGTATGTTCCTTTTAGCATCACCCCACAAGGCAGCCCTACAATTGCCACAAAGGGTGCTGGTCAAATCCCCTTCAAAGGGAAGCTCCTCGTGATGTTCCCAGCCCAAATGTATTGTTCAAGGGACCCGGAGAATGGTAACATGTGGTGGAAATGTCTCGAATCTCACTCAGATGGGCACCCACTCAGAGGTGGCAGAAAGGAACTAAAGCAAAGTCGCAATTGTTGGGTCCCCCCTTTGATACACACTCACTACCCTCAGCACACCCTCCTACTCCCGCTGGTTTCCTTCAACAGCCCCCAAGTATCACCTACATTTGGAGTGGCAACCTCAAAGAAACAACTGGCTGTGCCTCCAAATCACATTGGGGTTACACAGGTTTTAGTCTACCCTTCCATTTGCCAAAGGTGCCATTTTGGACTCCCCATTTTTGAGGCACACCCACCAGGCGCTCACATGGCAACCTCCAGTTAGCCCACCATGGAAGTTAGCCTTGACAAGTGCCTGGTTTTCAGGGGGGCGTCCCCGCAGATTTTCTGAGGTCATTATGTTGACTGTTGGGGGTGTTCAAAGTCAGAACATGGGCTGTTTCCCCTTTAGCCCACTACTTGACTTTGGTCAACAAATGAGGCCAATATGTCCAACTCGCGTAATTCAAGCAGCTTTCAGGCCATCGTAAAACGTTGTTCATTTTGGACAGGTGATGCTTGAGCACCGCCAACATGTAAGGATCCCAGCTAGGCCGATGCAAACCTTTGGGTCGAAACAAACGCCGAGTTAGACACGCGGCCAACAGCCTCGCGCCAGCGAGTGCCTTGATCTCCATACCTATGGCAGGGCTTCCTCTGTTTCCCCTGGCGGCTTCAAAAACATCACCCGACTTTCTGGGATCTTTGGACTTTAATTAACCTTTTGGGGAACCTGGGAACTTTTCCATAGGACCCACCCAAGAGATCTGCACTTGCAGAGGGGTCAACGGCAAAGCGCGAGCCTTTCGCGCGAGGGTCTTGAAAGGCTCGCCGTGAATTCGCAAAAAATCAGGCACACCTCCGGCGGCAGGGGAGGTTCAAAGGCTGAAGGTATACGGAAATTAGAGAAACCCCCTGGTATGAATCTCCTGTTTAAGGGTTGAGGAAAGGGTAAACGCACATAGAAGTGACTCATGTGGCCCTCCCACAAACAAGCATATAACCTGCACAGAGGGAACCCCCAATAATGGGATGATGGGTTCATTAATCCTGGGTCAACATTACCTGACGCTGGTGGAACACTTAAGTAGGCGCATCACCGGGATCCGGGAATCGAAGCTACTTGCAGGCCGCTGCAGTGCCGCCGGCTCCGCCAGCTCCGCCGCCAGTGCCGACGAGTCCGCCGATTCCGCCGGGGTGGCAGGCCGTTTTTGGGGCGGGGCCGGGGTTTTCTTAGCTTCTTGATGGCTAAGGGTTGGATCTTTAGACTTGAACTCTTGAAATCACAAACACCGAGAGGCTCCTGGGGCTTTCAATGGAAGACCCGACCCCTCCATTAGACACCGTGGAGGTGGTTGGGGGTCTCAAAACCAGGTTGTTTGAAGGCCCTAATTCAATCGGGAGCTTCTGGGTGGCGTGGGGGGGGGGGGAAGACGAGCCGGCCATATTGATCCAGAGTCATGACTTAGGAGCCATGACAAGAGCTGACTGGTGCTTGATGTCTAGGGACTATCACTATGGGTGACGCATGGGCTGCGGTGTTCCTTTTCGCCCTCCCTTAACTCCCCCCCCCCCCAAAAGACAAGGGAACCATAACTTGCCCAAAGGACTCAGAACGAACAGGCTTGGGTGGGGGGAGGCGAAAAGGAACACCGCAGCCCATGTGTTGGGCCCAAATCCCAGAAACACACCCATAGTGATAGTCCCTAGACACCAAGCACCAGTCAGCTCTTGTCATGGCTCCTAAGTCATGACTCTCGATCTATATGGCTAACCAAAAAAAACATCAACACAAACAACCACAGATGTCGGTCCCGTTAAAACCCGCTAAAAAGTGGTACCAACTCAAAATTCACACGTACCCATATTGGATGCGGGTTTCGATCATAGGTGTTTCTCAAGAAATCCGAGGCCCCTTTCAAACCACTCCCTCTTTTTGCCTGCAGGTAAACATGCACCACCGATATCACCCACCTGGAAAAAGGACGCTTGAGCACCGTCAGGATACATTTCTGGGGTCTACTCCAAAACGATTTGTAGAATTCGTAGACTAAAAGATGACTCGCCCAAAGCGAATCAACCTCTGTTTCCCCATTTTTCTAGGGGTGCCTTCCCCATTCGGTCCAGGGATCCTTCTTTCTAGAAAACCTCCGGAAATTTAGGGAAAAGAGCGATCGGTTTTTGAACAGAGCGATGGTGGAAAAGAATGGAAAAGGAATCAACCCCTAGAATTTTGGTCTATGGTTCAAAAGGTCAACCTGTTATTTCTGGGTCCTTGGGGGTCCTGGTGAACCACACCCCGAGTTGCTGAAACGGGAGAAGGACACATTGAGGGGACCCGATTTTTTTATCAAAACCCTGAGGGCCCTTAGGGTTCGTAGTCTAAAAGAAGCTGAAATCAATCAGACAACATGTGATTATAAACGTCCATTTGCTTAAGAGTCTTTAAAACCCTGTTGGTTTCAATAGGAATCTATGACTACGGGAAATATGTTTATTTTTCCAAAGGGCTTAAAGCAACCCCAGAATGTTAATAGGGGGGTGGGAGGGCCCCTTCAAAAGTGGTCTGATTCCCCACAATTCACCCAGGGAGAAGCACGCCCCGAGTAATAAACCTGGGTTGATGAATCCAGGGTCAACAGTACGTGCCGGGTGTTCGACGTCTCAACGATTTCTTTGGGACGTTGAGTGAGGTTTTGGGTGAACATTCAAAGAAACTGGGATCAACATGAAGCAAATGCAAGTACTGTGGATGGGCAAAATCCATTTCGCACCACTTTGACAACGCGGGAAAACCGTTATTTTCTGGTAGTGGCAGGGTCATTCCAGGGTCTCTGAACGGTGGTGCGAAATGGATTTCGCAACCATCTACAGTATGATCAAGTAGGATCAAGTAGTGCCAGAGCATCTTTTTTCTGCGCTGGCCAGGCAGCGCCTGACGCCGATCCGTTCGGCGGGGGACGCCCATTTTTGCGGAGCTATGGTGAGGGTAGGGACGCTGGTTTAAGAGTCGTCCTTCTTTTGCATGGGGACTCCAACAGGCATGGGAAATGTGGAAAAATGTGGAAGGCAAGGGAAACATCATGGGACAATAGGGGATAGGGGGACATATGTGTGTTTGATTGAGGGTACGCCCCTTTTTCCCCAACAGCTGAAAGCGTTTTGGGGGCCGATAGGCCCAAATAAGCTTTGGTGTGGTTTGGAACATGTCAGGGACCCAAAGTTTCGGGGCTGTTGGGGATCTTATTTGGGCTTATGTTGAGTTTTATTCTTTTTCAATCTAAGTTGTTTACCCTTTTTTTGGGTTGCTGGTTTTCCAGGTGGTCCACATTTGAGATAGACTCTAGGCATCTATGGAGTCCTCATGTAAAAGGAAATCACCTCGGTTGGTCGTCACAACGGCTTACAGGGCAGAGGATATCCTATGCTTAAATTTGTCTACGTGGGGACATTTTGGAGGTGTTCTTTTTTTGGACATGGTGGTCTTTGAACTCAACCAAATTGAGAAAGTATGTCAACTCACTCCCCGAGTTCCTGGACTTTGGTCACTTTTGGGTTTGGACAATTTTAGATGCAGATGCAAAGTTTTTTTTTTGCCAATCCACTCAGGGAGTGGGTCAAAGCATCCCGGGGAAGGGGGTTGAACGCGGAGGAATCACCTGCAGTTCCGGTGGTTGCATGTAACCATTTTATTAGATATTCATGTGGTAAACCATCCAGTTTAGTACTAGGTCCCCCCAGTAGTGCCCTTTTACCCTTTTTTTGGGGAGGGTTCCGACAGAAAAACAATGGTACCCGTACTCTTTCCTCCAAAACTGGAGGACCTAGAATAGGTGTTTAGCTCTTTTTAGTTGGTGGACAGGTGGTTGGGTGTCCATTCACTCAGTTGTTCAGTGGCACCCTGTTTTCCCTTTTTTTTGGTGGCCGCCCCACTAAAAATGGTCTTCCCCAAAAAAACGGGTTCCCTTTTTTCCCAGGGGTCGCTGAACTGAGTTCCAGTCCCCAAAGTTCTTCGCTTTCGGGGGATCAGAAGACTGGAGAAGCTGAGAGATGATCGCCTTGACGCCTTTCGGGGCCGGCGGTTTTGAGGCGATGCGAATTCTGGTGAGAGATGCGTGTGAGTTCGAAGAGGAAAAGGCTGAACAACAGGAACCTCCCTAAACCAGTGGGGTTGTCCTTCGGTTCCCTTTAATAGCAACTAAAAGGGGTTCCTTCAAGAAAAGCATGCAACTGGAACCCCCCGAAATCAGTGGTTTTCCTTTGGTTCCCTTAAACGCAACGCCATTGGCTGAAGTACTGTGGATGTACAGAATCCTGCACCACTTTGATACCATGGGAAACCATTAGTTGCTGGTATTTGCTGGGGAATCATCATTCCAGGGTCTCTTAGGTGGTGTGAAATGGATTTCGCCCATCCACAGTATTTCTTTCTTTGCAGAAACACTATACGGCCGACACAACCAGCAGATGTGCTGATCCAAGTTATAACCCGCGTATCAGACCCCCCACAGTGCGGTGGACCTTGCTAGTGGGTGAGTGTTGACCCAGATTAGTCAACCCTAGTTTAGCAATAGAGGGGGGGTCCCTGGTTTTAGTGGGGATGTATCCCTTTTGGAGCGGCCTCCACCAACTCTATATATGAATTAACTGGGGTTGATTTAAGCCTGGAAAAAAGGTACACCATTTCCAGTAGCCATAGAACTATGAACCTGCGGTCAACGTTATAACCCAACGAACTTCCCCTCGACCAACGTGGCGGCCGGAGTTCGGGACCCTCAGGCGGCGCGCTCGGCGGCCCGTTCCAGCTGCAGGCGGGGCGGTTTCTGTGGCTCAGACGTTTTTTCTTCTCTTTCGCGATTTGTGGATTGACAGGCCTGGGTTTCCATGTGGGTATGGCTCAAAAGACCGGAATTCCAAAATGGGTTGCCCTGGTAAGTGGAAACATGGACCAAAATCCTGCGGTTTGCCCTAGCTCTGATTTTTTTTCGCCACAGCCATGTGTTGTTGTTTCGAAACCAGGGATTGACATACCCGCAAAAAGCAGTGAGTGTTTGGAGTAGGGGCTTCCCATAGGGCTGGATTTCTTTAGTGATCCAGACCATTGGGATCAGAGATCCGAAGCGACCTGCCAACGGAGGGTCCTTACTCGGGTGTTCAGTAGGTTGCATCTACCCTCTACTCCAAATACCCGCCTTTTTTCAGGGTATGATGTCGACCCGTTGCTAAAAGTCAATAAATTTACTGTGAAAAAACAGGTTTTCCCAAGAAAAAAAGCACAGCGGGTATTTGGAGCAGGGGGGTTGATTATGAGGGGACCAACCGACAGGCACCCCAGTCATCTTGCCATGCACCATTACAAACGACTTACCTGACGTTGGTTGAACTCAGGACGGAGAGTCCCTAACTAAGGTTGCACGGTTTTCACTTGATGCCCCCCACAAGCCCACCGCTTGAGAGACTCGTACGAGCGACCGAGGAGAAGGCCCTCGGCATCTGGGGATCCCCATTTTGAGCGTTCAACTGAAAAAGGTAATGTCAACCCTGGATTAATAAACCCCTGGTTGATTAATAGGGGGGTGTCCCCTTTTTGTGGGGATTCATCACTTTTGGAGGGAACACCCCCCTAATACTGGGACGGGTTTATTAACCCTGGGTCAACATTAGGCGTCTAACATCCCAGCCCCAGGCTTGCCGGGCCGGAGGCCGGAGGGCTTCGGCAAGGGAGAGTTGTCTGCGAAATGAAACGTCAGGTGTGGGACAACTTCCGCATCGCTTTCAAGCAGTGCGCCTTTTGCTTCTGACGCTCCTGGAGGATTTGGGGATTGGGCCGACTCAATTTTCTGTTTTCTGGAGAAGATGGTTTGGGGCACCCCCCACCCCCCTCCTCTCTTTCAGGTATGGGGGGCGTGGTACAATTTTATGCTTTCCACCCCCCTCCTCTCTTTCAGGTACGAGGGGGATGTCGGCATCATTTCAGGGGCGTATGTCCACCATATATGTGTCAGGGTATTCCTCACTGAAAGTCATAACCATACGGTGGATGGACAAATTCCTGCACCAGATGGTACGTGGTTTATCCCAGCAGTGACAGTGTTTCATTCATCCATCCCAACTCGTGCAGGATTTGGTCCACCCACAGTATCTAGGTCCCCCAGCTAGGTGCCAACTTTACCCACTTTTTTGGGGGAGGGCTTTCCTACTAAAATTGACTACAGAAAGAAAGTTGGTACCCTTATTCTAACCTCTCTACCGGAGGAACCAAGCTATGCAAGATGTGTTCGATTGAAGATGCATATCTTGGGATCGGTCCAAGAATCCCACTGTGATGTGAACTCGTTCCGATGGCTGGTGGGAATATACGAGGGCTGAAGAAACGCTTATTTGCTTGCTTCCGGAGTTGCTGCACTTTTTTCCTTTTTGCTAAGACCGTCTTAGTGATTAAGAAAGTAACTTTCTTTGAGCCAACCACCCAGGAAGTGAGTTGACTCTTATTTTTTCATGACGAAATGTGGTTTTAAAGTACTTGTCTAGGCCTATATTATGTGCTCATACCTGAATCCATGGCCATGTTGAACCCTTTTGAGGCCTGGTTTCCTGTATCTTTGTAGCTTCATAGCTTTAGCTTCCTTCCCAGCCATCTGCGTGACTTTGCGAGTTTGGATAGCATTAGATGTCATATTCTGGCAAGTACTCTCATGGATCCCTCAGACCTTTGGGCAAGGGGACGGAACTCTCATATTAGCCCCGAATAACCCACTCTTGAGTCCCCTGAGTGGGGTTAACAGTCTTGTTAGGGGGTTTGCAACCCAAGTAACTGACCACTTGCTAGCTTGGCCACAAAAACCCAAGTATCAACTAAGTGCTTCTTGGATGTTCAACCTACGTAAGTAGGTTATAGCAGCTATTCGCCCGAGGTTTGCAACTGGCCTTAGTTGGCTTACCATTGTTTTCGCTCAGCTGACGGCAACAAAGATCCAAGTGATCTTTCCCAGTTGCCCAGCGGTGTCATTTGTCCCCCTGTTTTTTTTGGGGGGGGGTCCCAAAATTTCCCAATTTTTTCCCCCCGCCCGGCCCCGCCCGGCCCCCCGTCCGCCCCTCCCCCCTCCCGCCCCTCCTCCCCCCCTGGGCGGAAGGGGAGGGTTCCCCTGTAAAGGTGAACCAACCCAAAAAGGATGATCCGTTATTGCCGTGCCACTGGGCAGCTGAGGCTGCCCTGTTTGAGAGGGAAAGCGAAAGCATCTCAGCGCCAGGTGTCCTTTTGATCGGTGAGTGTGGTCAAAAATAGATGGGTGCACTGGTTTAGATGGGTTTCCATGCCATCCATTTTCCAGGGCAACTCATCTTGTTTTGTCCCAAAGGACACCGATGCCGGGCGCCTTGGCCATCCTAGGCTCCCTGACTCGACTCGAAGCCGAAGAGGTACATGGTGCAGCTCGCAGGCGAAGCTCTTCAACAGTCCAACCAGGAGGCGACCAAGTTGGTCCGTGTCGGCGGCCGCAGGTTTTGAGCGACTGGCACCAGTTTCCAGGGTTCGGCCCGTGTAAAGAGAGTCCAACCATTACCAGGGTTCCAGGGTTCCACTTGAGATGCTTTTTTTTGACCCACGGCCAAATGGCTTGTGGATATGGACTCCCGTGTTTTTGTTTGAGCCGCCCGAGGTTGATTTCAACCGCGCGCTGCCAGGTTTCTTCATCTCAGACGCGCAAGAAGTTGGAACTTGTTTCTAGCCAGTTAATTGATAGAGGCTGTGGGGGTGTACTCGGTACTCCCTACAAGTCTTTTGCCTTAAAGTGTTGGGCTCGATGTCGTTTGTCTCAAAGTGTTGGACAAGTCTGGTTTGCTGTTTGCTTTCTGAGCATCTTGAGATCCCTGAAAATGGTGTTGCAAGTCTCGAAAATGGAGTTGCAGCATTTGTTGTGGTGGGTTCCATGGCAGAGAGGGTGAACCAGGCGGGGTAAGAATTCCAGAGGGTTACCTATCCTTGGCGGTACCCAGCCGTGCGGTTCCTTGGATTTTTAGATGCTTTTAGATGGTCTTTCGTTGGTTTAGTGGTTGGATTTCCCATGTTTCAATCCTTGCGGTTTTAGATGCTTTTAGATGGTCTTTCGTTTTTTGTTTTTTTTTGATTTTCCATGTTCCAAACCAAAGTGCGGGGCTTTTGGGTGTCTTTTGGGGTCCGAGTTTCCACCGGCCGAAAGGGTAACACATTTCTCGACGAGTTAGCCTTGCAAACAGACCATGGCCCTTTGACCCCCCAAATGAAGCTTGTTTTGTTTCTGCGCGCGCGTTTTGGCACACAGCGCAAATTGCAAGGTTTGTGTTGGTCAAACATCAAAGGGGCAACTAAGTGAAGAGACCTTTTGTGGCGCTAAGCGCCTGGAATCACTGGGCTCGGGACAAGACAGCTGCGTGCCAGACGGACCCCCGGAAGCCCGCGATGAGCGCGGCGGCATTGGGGGGCCATAGCTCCGGCCAGGCGCGGTGGCTTCGGTCCTGGGGGAGTTTTCAGGCGCCTTCATGGAAGCGACCTGCTTGACTTTCTATTCGGTTGAATCTTTAGAGACTAACCTCCCCGACTGGTGCCCTTTTACCCTGGGGGAGGGTTCCCCTATTAAACAGTAGACTACAGAAAAAGGGTTCCCTTGTTCTAACCTCTCTACTGGAGGACCTAGTGTTTGGCTGAAATTCCTTTGGTTGTCCGAATTGAACCCGCAACAAGTTATTCAAGTTTTTTGCAGAGGGCTCGTTGCAGCAACCAAGCCTGGTCCTGGTTTGAAGCATTTTGTTCTTACGGGACTTTGCGGTGAAAAGTATACCGCTTGTAGGGATATAAGAACTGCCCTGCAAGCTTAACCCTGCTCCAAAGAAATACCCACTCAAATAGGAGGTGTTTACCCCTGAAAACCGGGTATTTTCAATAAAAATAAGCTCAGGTGATATCCCCAACAGCAGAACCTCGTGGAACCCTCGTGGAACCCTGGTGGAACCAGCTTTCAGCTGTTGGGGAACAATGTAAAGCCTAAATGGGTATTTGGAGTAGGGGGTAGATTGGTGACATGCATCACCTCCAAATACCCGTTTGTTTAAGGGCACCAAGTGGGACTTGTGGACCTCCGAGAAAAGGGTGCCGGGTTTTGTTTTCCTGTGGCGTCCGTTGATAGAATTGACCCGACAACAGATACCCTCGCAACAGAACATAAAACCCTAGCTGCATACGTACATTTCTATATGTATGTATTTGTAAATATGTTCATCCTTGGTTCCCTTGCAACACAGCCCCCCTCCCACCCAAAAAAAAACAAGCAACAAACACAAGAGGAGGTTCACTTCAGAAGGGGGCCATGGGAGTGTCGCCAGATCGCAGGTCTGTGTCAGCTTTCTGACCAACTCCTGCCGCAGAGGGCCCTCTACTCAGCCGATGGCCATCCGTGGCTCTCAGTAAGGGAAACTCTATGGGTTTCCGAGCGGTTTCCAGCTGGTTCAGATGTTTCAGGCGGTTCCAGATGTGCTTTTCAAGTGGCTACACCCAGAATGGCCAGCATAGGTGTTTGCGCTTTTGGGTTCGTGTGGTATGGGTCCTCTGGTTTAGACGGGGATTTATGCCATCCATTTACCAGGGCCATCCATTTTTCCAACAGGACACCTATGAGGGTCACTTCCGCAGTCTTTCCAAGGATCCTCAGAACACCCAGGGAAAACGTCCGGAGTCACCCCCTGGAGCAGTGATTTCCCCAGACGTGCTGTTTTGTTTCTTCTTCTGATGTTTGGTAGGGCAGCCAGGTGTTGAGACCCCTTAAACCCCCAAATGGTTTGGTGTCTCTCGTCTGGTCTTCCACAGCCGAAGCCCTTCGATCGGAGCGGCGCCGCTAGGTTTTCGTGGGTTCAGGTTGCCATGATCAGGTTGCCATTAAAGACCTCAGTGCTTTCAGGCGATTTGCCATGTTTACCGGAGGGTTTTACAGGGTGCCTTCGTTTGGTTACCTACTATAGTGGCGAAACACCCCGAAGTGCAACAAAATACAACTAAGAATTAAAAGTACGCACCAAGCTCCCATCTCAAAGACGGACACAAAGTGATTTATGGTTTTCACTGGCTTCAACCACGACTTGGAAGGACCTCTCGTTTGAAGATTGTGTTGCTGCCAGGTCAAACTTGTCCAATCAGACCTTGGTGCTGAGAAAGTTGCACGAAAATCCGGAAGGTTGGCCAGCCAGACTTTTTTTTTGGCTTCAGAGAGACCTTCAATGGGCTGCAGCCTTCTGAACTTCAACCGCTGACGGCTATGGGGGCGACAGGCGGAATCGGCTCTGAACCAGCCAAGGGTTCAAAAGGAGGGGTCCAGAGGTTCCACAGCTTGCTGTTGGGGGATACCAGGGCGTTTTTCTGAGTGGGAGTGAACGAATGGACATCTGAAAAAGAGAGATATAAATATCAGAATGATATGAGTCAGCCATCACATCACTTCTGTTGGTCTATTTTTTGTTTCATCAGTTATTATTCATTGTTGACCAATTCATGAGCTATAGATTTGGAGTCAGAGAATGAAAGAGGTTGGGCTGGTTCACCTCTAGGATATGCCGTCACTTTTGGTACGTTCTATCCCCCATTTTTCTGTATCGTGTCTCATCTCACCTGGGCACGGTGCTCCTGAAGCTCGTAGATACCAAAGTCAGGAACTACAAGCCTTTATCGTTCTCTTTCTCTTTTACACGGTTATTGGAAGGGTCTGAAACGTGGGGAATCTGAAAACTGGATGGTTTCCTTTGGTTTCCAGTTAACACCAGCCGGTTTTTAAAAGATGGGGTGGCCTCAAAAAAGACTTCCCCAGGGCCCATTTGGAGGGGAAGCCGTAGAACAAAGCAACCAACATGGAAGCGCCATCTCTGCCCGTGGAAATCCCAGCTCGGGGCCCCAGGGCCCGGCGCGAGGTTGAGGTGCACGGACCGTCATCCACCGAGATCACAGTGGGGGAGGCAGGGCCACTGGCACAGTCTCGCGTCGTGGGTCTGTCTCTTTTGGCGGGTTCCATTCTCCCACTTGTTCAAAAATGGGATTGCAGGAAAAGATACCTTGTCTAGGGTGTTGTTTTTGGTTTGGGAAGCATTTTTTCAAAAGTGATCAAATCAAAGCAAACAGTTTTTCATTTTGGACCTGGTTGTAACCTTAGGGTGGTTCCCTTTACCTCCACCGTGGACATGGGGCTGTGTTTTTGAGCCGTTGGAGGACCGGGAGACTTGTGGCGGTGCCCGATTCTCAGCCGTCCGGTTCCTTAGCCTTATGTGTTTAGATGTTTTTGGTTGGTTCCGTGGTTGTTTCCGTCCATTTAACTCGCTAAATGTTATTCACCTAGGTCCCCAGTAGTGCCCTTTTACCCTTTTTTGGGGGAGGGTTCCCCTACTCAAATAGGCTACAGAAAAAAAGTTGGTACCCTTGTTCTAACCTCTCTACTGGAGGACCTAGTCACTTTTTAGGGGGTCTGAGGACAGCCCGTAAGCGCCCAAAATGGTAGGTTCCCCTTCGTTGCCCTTTCAAGATACGATACGAATTAGAAAGGGACCCACCATTTTCATATGAACGATAGCGGTGTTTGTTTTTCAGGGCACCCTGAAACGTTCTTTTTTGTTTTCGGGTGATGAAAGGAAAACTATCCATTCCAGGGTCCTTCACTGTGGTTGGCGGATTTGTTTATTTTTCGCGGGCTGCAAGTAAACAACAGCCCCTCCCCCCCCCTCCAAATGCTGGGCCTTTTGTGAGGGGTGTCCTGCCAGGGGTGTCACTCGATTGTTGTGGGGAATGTAGCGGTCTTTTTTGTTTTTTGTTGTTTTTCTCCATGTTTAATTGATTTTGTTTAAAGGGGACCAGTGAGAATGTTGGGTTTTGCGCTTGGTTTCCCTTTAGAACCACCAACGACTGGGTACCCTCAAAAGAAGACACACCCATGTATCAGAAAACCCTTAACTGGTTGGATTGACAATTTTTGGACTTGAACGCCTGGTTCTTATGTGTAAACGGGAACCCCGGAACACCTTCAAACCCACCCATCCAAACCGCCAACGACAGGGAAGGGGTGTGGGATACCATTAAACCAAGTCAATTCATGACCATTGGAAAATCAGATTAGTAATTATTGATATTAGCCTGTTTGGGTTGCTTTTAAGGGAGAAGCCAAATTGCAACCCGACATCATTTTTTGAGATTCCGTGTCCTTCTTGACACACTCATTTGGGTCCGTTGTTTTGAGCATTTCCACCTTGCGGGCTGCATGCCGACCCGGATTTTTTGTAGAACCTTGCGGATTCAAACCTGAGGACGGTCAAAATCCAACTCACAGGTGTGATTGGTAGTTTCTCCCACTCAAAGTGTATCAGGAGACTCAGATGCGCTGTTCAGAAGGGCTTGCGAAGCCAACAGGAAAGCCACCATTTGGGTCGCTCCGAGCTGTTCCTCGTTTTTTTTGGTTGGCGCCACGTAAATGGGTTCGTAAAACAGTTTCCCAGTGGGGTGAATGTTAAGTGGGGATTCGAACTATACCCTTTGGACGCACAAAAGTTGTGCTTTTGCCCTTTCAAAGCACCGCACAAGGGGCACCGTCAACAAAAGGACGGCACCTCAATAAACGACAAACCCCGCTCAATTCAAAGGGAAACCGCAATTTAGAGTACCGAAGCCGTTTTTGTCGAGGGTTCTCTTGAGACTAAAGGGAGCCCATTCCATATCCCACTTATTTGCCGAAAGCCGACTTGAAGTGACAGGCAGCCAGGACTGCCAAGACCTTATCGCACCAACAAACAGCACCACTTGTTAGTCACGACCTCAAAAGCTTAACCTCTTCTTTCTGGGTCCGTTGGGCAACTGAGTGAGGCAGCATACCTGGACCCCAAATAACCTCTGTTCATTGCAACTAACCTTCCGTTCGTTGGTAACTAACCTTCTGACATTTCCATTTTTGGTGGCTTATTGAGAGCACTTTGCTTGCTAATATGGGCTGTGGAGCCATTTTGCGCCATGAACTGCGACGATGGAATGAACTATGATAAACTGTAAGTGGTACAGAAATCTACCGCATTTTCAATCGATGGCGATACTAAAATGAGGCAGCGGAGCCAATTGCAGCGCCCAGGCGGCGGTCGATAACTGACTAGCAAGAGGCAACGTCGCCACTTCAAATATTTGGTTGACTGGCGCAGTGAGTCAGCAGTTGATAACATTAATGATGGTAGGGCTCTAGCAGGGGAAAACGTTTACTTTTGGACCACCGCGTGTGGGCGCAAGCCTTTCTGCAACCGGCGGGGCGCAGTGAATAGCGAACAGCGGACAGTGAACGGCAAACAGTGGACAGTAAACAATGGACTACGGGCGGTCGAAGGTAAAGAACATCAGCGCGCTTGCCTGCAGATGGCTCAAACTGCAGCAACGCACAGGCGTGCCCTAAAGTGCTTTCGCATGCTGCTCGCCACTGACAATCCAACAGGGGCAGGACACAGCATGTTTTCCACATAGCAGCCATTGATCACGCAGCGCGCTGATTCACAGCTGCGCCCGCTGAAAAGCTACGAACACCCACGCGCACAGTGCACAGAGCACAACGGGCTGCAAGCCGAAAACGAATACATATTTCGTTCATGGCACTTTACCATTTTCAACCTTGGCAAAGTGGTCATGTTCGTTCTTGAAAGACAGATTCTGGAACAACACAGGAGATCTACAAGCAGTCCCTCGCAGTCCTGCGCAGCAAACGCGCGCGCGTTCTGCGCGCACTTAATTAAAACTATTGGACTTCCACACGCTCAGCTTCAGCGCTTTCTACTTCAGTGTGCCCATGGCACTTAAAGGTTGGCTTCCACTACGCAGGCTTCGCAAATAATCCTCAGCCTGGTCCGCGCTTTCTGCATCTTAGACTCCCATGCCCTCTTCGAGCATACACATGCCGGGTCCGGCAGAACCTCGTCCAGGACCAGCTCTGGGATGTAGGCGTGCTGCTTCCGGGTGGTGTTCACCACCCGCGCTCGCTTGGCATATCTGTGCGACATATTGTGGCCCGCTTTAGACGAGGAATGGCTCCGCATCTTGGGCGGGGGCGCCAGCTAACGCAGCAACGGACTGTGGACAGCGGACAGTGGAAATTAAACGCTGGAGCCAAATAGCTGCCATGTGTGACATAGTCAGTGTGCAGTGGGCGCAACGGATCTCACGCGCTGCAAAACAAACCCTTCCATGACAGGCCCTCACGATTTCAAACAACGGTGTGAACAGCCACAAGTGCACGCGGAATTCTGTAAGGCGCAGGAGTTGACGATGCTGTTGCTGATGATGGCAGTGACGCAGTGACCAAACCCCAGGAAGCCAGCTAAACCACACCCACTCAACGAGCGCCCTGCGGCAATCCAAAGTGTGCCCCCAAGCATGGCGCAGTTGCCATTTCCAGGTCCTAGAATTCGAGGGGGGCGCCCGTCCGTAGACCAAAAATGGTGAGAATTGACCGACGCCACCTTCAGTCAATCGGTCAACTCCTGTTTCCCTGCTCAAGCAACGTGGGGTCAAGAGCGCCGTTCAAAAGGCCCTGCTCCTGGGCTTAACCTTTCTGAAGCGCAAGCGCGAACGCCAAAATTGCGGATTTCTTGAGCGCCTTTCCAGGTCTTGAATGCATGTTTTCAAATCAGTTGGTGTCCTTGGTGCTCGAAAGGCGCGTTAGCTGCAGCCGCTGGTTTTTGCGACACGCACAGACACACACGCACACACACACACACACACACACACACACGCGCGCACACTTGCAAATCAACTAGGTGATGGCCTTTTGTGTTGTCCCAGATTGTTTTTATGCCGGCCCCAGCTTGCCTACTGCTAGCAAGTGTTCATTTACATTCGGCCACTAGTGCCGGGAGATGAGGACTCCAACATTTGCACTTGCGTGTGTTTCACACAACCCTCTGCTGCGCGCTGTCCACTGTCGATTGTCCACTGTGAAAATAGCCCATTGTTTGGCAAGGGTGTGCGAAAGGCCAGGCCGTTAAGGGTGGTTCTTGGGCAAGCCGAACCTGCTGGCGACGCCGGCCCGCCATGTTTGCAGCCCTGGGTCGGAGGGTTTCATCGTGCTTGCGCTGACATGAGAGGCTTGGCGCCGGCCAACCATCCATTTGCGTTACAGGCTTCAGGTCACTACTGACATGTTACAGCTATTTGTGTTGCACGGGCGCCTTTTTCTTTCGAATCGCCAGCAATCTGCATGGGCCCAACCCGCCACAAACTTGCAGGGGCCCTCACGGACCAGCCAACTGCAAGGGGCAGGTTGGGCCAACCAAATGCAGGGGCAATCCAACATTTCAAAAACACAAGCCCAAGGGTTTGTTGCCATTGCTTGCTACAGACTTCGATTGCGAGAGCAATAGGGGTGTAAAACTTAAGGCGTCACTTCGTCGGATTGCTGCCTGGATTCTCTGCATGAGGTGAGACTGCGTAAGTCGCCTTCCAAGCTTTTTGCCCTGCACGGCGCTTACTCTTCCTCCACGCGTTTCTGCTGGAATGCCTGCGTTCCTGGCTCGACTCCTCGGCGTTGCCTGGGGCTGGCGGTGCGCTTGGGGATGAGGAGCTGCTCTGGGCTGAAAGCATGCCCGGAACTGTCGCCATTGGTGCTGGCGATGCTGCGATAGACCGTGAACAGGGGACAGCGGACAGGGCCTCTTCCTTTTCCCCTTTGTTCTCAGGCGCGGGCGGTGCCGCCGGCAAGGAGAAACTGACAGGAACCGCTGCGAATTGCAAAGCTTCCACCACGTCCTCTTCATGCGCATGGCAGTAGTGGCGCCTGAAAGTTCCCACATCATGCCGTTGCTGAATCTCCATGATCACATGTTCTGAAGGTCGTTTCGTTCCTTTTGGGTTTGAAAGCAAAAGTGCGGAGGACGTATGCCTCGTAGCCCCGTGCACCGTGACGTGAGAGCCTATAAACTCTTGGTTCCAGCGTCTGCGGCCGGTC